TTCCCCTATCCATCAATGCCGTAACTTCATCGTAGAAGGCCACCAAATTAGTCAGGCAGGATTTGCCCTTAGTGAAGCCATGTTGGCTGTCACCAATCACCTCCTTATATTGTATGTGCCTTAATTTTAAGCCAAAGGTTATTTGTGATTCCAAGGAAGTCAGCACTAATTAGCAATCTTCCCAAGTAAAGACAGACTGGTTTGTAACTGTGTATCACGCTCATAGATGGCTCTTCTCACTTAACTTCATAGACTAACATTCAAGATACTATAAATTAAACAATGTATTTCCTCTTCCAGCCCAAATAAACAGCATTTGGTACTCCAGATCACGGGACACAGGAATGACTGCATTCATCCCTGATCACACAGGGTTCCTAAAATTATGTTTTTCTCTTCATCAATGCCTGGAAAAGTCCTATAAACTCACAGAAAAGCAGCACCAGCAGAGACTAGCAGAGTTCAGCTCCTTGCACTGAGGTGTTTCTAGGTTACATAGTTTATCCTGGCTAGGTGTTTGTTAAACTAATTAAAGCCAGTTAAAGACCCTCCAGAACCACTCTAAGAGACCAGTTCCACTATGTCACTGTCCTTAAAGGTAAGAAATGTCATCCAATGTGTAACCAAAACTCCTGTCTTGCCAGTTACACCAAACTTGATTCTCTGTGAATAGAACGTGAACAGTTGATTACAAATCCTCTTTATAACAAATTTATAGCTACAAAAGAAACTGTTATCTTCTTTTTCAAGTTTGATTGAATCTAATTCTTTCAAATTTGCTTAATGGATGGCTTTTCCAAAGTGATCTCTAGATTTGTCCCAATGCCTCTACAGTTTCTTTATAGTGGAGTGGCCAAAATCTGGAGCAATACCTTCTAAGTGGATGCGATCCTCTCTGGTTGCCATCATGGCTACGTGAGCATATATTCTTTGAGCCCAGATTTGGTAGGAACAGGTTTTAGTATACAGAGGGTTTTCTCCACTACCAGTACTGGACTGATCTCAGAGCTGGACCAACTCTGTTGTTCCCATGGTTGTAGTACTTGACACAGCTTGCCACAGCTTTTACCTTCCATTGCTTCCTCCTCCTTCTGCCTTCCTGATGCAGTGTTAATATTTCATGGGGTCAAGTGCAGAGCTGTGCTTGGAATCAAGACCGATGGACTAAGGCAGGAGCTATCAGCCCTCTGGTAAATCCATGCTTGCGATGTACCAGCTGACACTTCAATGGCAAGGAGGTCTGTTTGGTGAAGATAACACTAAATACTTTATTCCCCTGCATTTTCTAGAACACTGGTCTTTTTGGATGCTGAGGTATAAGCTTTTATTCTTATTGGTTGTAAATTATTTTGAAGAAGGGTTTTAATGCTTACCTCTAAGGAAGAGCTGAGGGAAGGAGAAAATCTGTGTCCTGTGGCTGTCAATGAAAGCTATCTTCCAGGCTACATCAGGGTTTTTAACTTTGCAAATCCTATTCTTGTTGAGAAGTATGTGCCACAGCAAATGATGCTGCTACCTCAGATACAAGACCTGTGTAAAATCTCAGTTTATTCTGATGACAGACATCACAGAATTCCAGTGGCAAAAACTAGTATTATGTGTAAGTCAGTCTTGCTGCATCACGGTTAGCAGTTCTCTAAAGAACTGCAAGGCTCTCTGGGTTTATCTGTACTGCAATCTTAGTAACCCTTTCTAGTGAAGCTGAGGTGTTTTTAAATCCAACATTGAAAAATCTGTAACAAAAATATCTATACTTTAAGAAGTTCAAATCAGTAATCGTTTTGCTTTAGTCTCAGTCTCTTTGGACAACCTGGTGTAGTGGAGGGTGTCCACTAGTGGGGTTGGAAGTAGATGATCTTTGAGGTCCCTTCAAACCCTAACCATTCTATGATTCTATGATTTTAAAGTTATTTTATAAGCTTCCTTTGATAAAATGACTATATATACAAATTCATTGGAAGTAGAAGCAGAATATGCCTGAAACTAAATTACTGTGTGCATTCACGAAGTGTTAACCATGTTTTTTTTCACCACAAACTCCTTTTGATTTCATCATGACTATTGCTTACATGACTAGGAGAGACGATTTTACACAGCAAACACAATCCCTTGCTCAGGCTGGTTGTGCCATGATGCGGTGGAAGTGCCCCATCTTCTGGCAGTAAAAGATCACTTTTCAAAAGCATGCGAAAGAAAGTCTTTCTGTCACTCAAGAAATCAGGAACACCCCTCAGATAGATCAGGAAATTTATTTTTTTTTTCTTTAATGAAAACATCCTCAAGTATTTCTTTTTCTTTTTTGTAGAAAATAGTATACGAAGACAAGAACCCTAGGTTTCTAACAAAACACATTGTAAATTAGCGGTATACTTTCAGCTGACAGGCTTAAAAAGATTAAACCTCACCTTGCTGAAATCACTGGAAGTCAGAATAGACGGGTGGTAGTTCTGTGCTGAAACTTCTAGTAGGAAACTAGCAGCGTATTTTATTCGCTGGTGGGTGTTTTTTCCCACCACATCATGAAGGGTAACGCTGAGCATGATGGTTTGCAAGAAACTGCAAAATTATTACCGACTTCATTCACCCCGACAGAGAGAAAAATTGTGCCGCAACTTATAGTTCAACGTTATCTTCCGAGGGTTGCGAAACTAATTAAACCGCGGTAACCTGCTTGCCTTTGCAGAGCACGTTGCCGCCCCGGCGGCAGCCCCCGCTGAAGGCGGCCAGCAGAGGTCGCTGACGAAAGCAGCGCGTTTCGCTGCCCTCACGATGGCGTCACGCCGCCGCTTTCTGCTTTCCCCGACGGCAACAGTGCGGGGCTTTTGGTGACCCCCGTTAAGCCCTAGAATTAGAACTACGAGCAGAAGGAGATCTTGTGCCCCGGCTCCATTCAGCTGGATGGATACAGGCACCTGTGCCAGGCCCCGGTTCGGATGGTCAGCACTCGCAGGAGCTGCAGAGCAGGGAAGAGAGCATGTGGTGTCCAGACGTGTAGGCAGAGGCACTAACCTGCCCCGCGGGGACACCGTGGTGGCACAAGACACCATCCCTGCAGACGCTGCCTGCTGGGCGCACCGGGTGGCCCTGGCAAGCAGAAGGATCCTGGGCTGAGCCAGGGCTTCACAGCTTCCCTGTCCCTGCAGAGGTGCCGTGCTATGTCAGATAAGATCCCTGTGAGGTCCCGCAGGGGCTGCATGACATCGCACAGATGGCCTCTCCTATGCAGTGCCAGGTTTGGGAGATGCCACTCTGTGGTCGTAGCCTCAAAATTGCAAGCGGGTGGCAGCTTCTGCTGATGGGCAGCATGGGGAAAGTGTGGGGGACCACCTCCCCTAGTCATGTCCTCCTCCTCCTGCTGGCAGCCCGGCATGTCAGAGACAGCCAGATAGCTCTGTTTGGAGCATTACATCTAGGTGGGGTGGGCAACAACAGAGGCACCGGCTTTGGGGTGGATGAGAGGCAGAACCTCTGCAAGGAGGCACAGAGAGGCTGTCGCATCTGCAGGGGTGTTTGCCAGACAGGTGATGGGGCCGAGAACCGTGCAGCAGGGCAGAGAAACCCAGGGCTCAGTCCCCTTTCGACCTTCTCTATGAGCCACATGAATCCATGATCCCCTTCCAGTCGCAGTGGTTCCTTCATGGAGAAGCATTTCACAGCATAGAATGAAAAGCTTTCTCCTCTGTATTTGTTTACAGCTGTGCATGCAGGCCATGCTTCTTGGCCACACAGTTTCCTTGAGCCTCGAGTCTATCCTGGGGGTAAATACTCAGTCTTTATTCACTTTGTAGGATAAGCACCTCTTTTCCATCTTGTCGTTAGGTCACAGTGATCCACATTTCTTTGAAAGGTGTCAGGCAGGTGAGGATGGAGACCCCAATCCACACAGTGTTTTCTCTCAGGAATGCATTGATCCTCACAAGCATGCCAGAAGGCACTCGTAGCTTCATCTCCTTCAGGAACCATTCCTCCAGGCCAGGGAAGAGTGTGGACCTACCTGAGGGCAGGATGTTGCCATAAAGATTCCTGCACATGCTGTTTACACACTTCATGATGCTGTTGAAGATCATTTTGGCACACTGGGACCTTCAACTGCAAAGCTGGCAGGCACGAAAAGGGTCTCTGGTACACGAAAGAGCTGGTTGCCTATCTGGATGATATTGTTGTCAGGCAATCTGAATTCTTTCATAATTTCTTCTGGCTTTGCTTTCATTTCTTGGATGGGGTCTAAAGCTACATAGCACAACTTCTCTTTGATATCTTTCATAATTTCCCTTCCAGCTGTGCTAACAAAAGTGTGTCCATTCTCCAAAAGAATCTTCATAAAGTATTCAGCCAGCAATATCCAGCCTGGAGACAGCATGGGGAAAACAGTATCCTTCATATAGGGGGCCAGTGTAGATAACACCATCCTCACTGATCATGACTCTCTTAGTAATACGGACTAATGCATAGAGTGCCTGAGTTGCCTGGTATGTGACTTAAATAGCTGGCACCATGAAGCCTTCAAACATGATTTCTGTCATTTTTTCCTGGTCCTACAGAGGATTGAGTGGGGGCTTTCGTCAGCAGCGCTGGCCTTTCACTGGCATGTAACTATGCCATAGTCAATTGGATAATTCAAAGACAGGATCCCTCTTTTGGTCTGAGCTGCTTCTCCAATGTAACATTCCTTCTATCCAGTCCCAGCCTTGTAGCTTTGACTTCTGAGTGACCAACAATTGTCATAAAAACAGACATTGGGCCACTGTCACCTGCAATATCCACTCTGAATAACTCAGACCTGTTGTCAAAGATTACAGCTGGGCCATCCAAAATGTTTCAGTCAAACATTCTTCGCTGAGTTGATGGCTCCCCAAAGTGGATCCCCAGCACGGTTTTCCCATTCCCCTTTTACAGGCTGGTCACCATTGCTAGGGAAGTGTCGTGGGTTAGGCTGCTCTGGCAACCAAACCCTACACAGTCGCTCACTCACCCTCCCCCACCCCCAGGGATGAGGGAGAGAATTAAAGGAAAAATTGGAAACCCGTGGGTTGAGATAAGAACAATTTAATACAGATAAGTAATACACAGTGTAGATGCTCACCACCCCCTCTTATCTGCAGCCCGTCTCGTCCCGAAGCTGCAATCCCGGACGAATGCGAGGCCCCGAAATAGGGAGAGGGAGAGAGAGAGAGATAGTACTCCTAGAGTGGGAGTACTGGGAGAGAGAGAGAAAAAAGGCAATAGAGCAAAAGCACGGAAGCACAAAAGAGCAAAAGTGGCGAAAGAGCCAAAGCGCAAAAAAAGCCCTTCTTCCCGGCTGCCCCTCACTTTTATACTGGGCATGACGCTGCATGATATGGAATACTAATTGGCCAGTTTGGCCCTCAATCTTAAGTTCCACCACAAATCACAAGGGGAATCGTGTCCCCCTTGTCCCAGCTAGGCTCCCCCCTTATCCCGCTGTGCCTCTGCACTCCGGCCCGAACATGGCACACCGAAAAGTCCTCGGAGTCTCACATCCAACCACAAACATCAGGTTGCTATCAACATTCTTCTCAGAGCGAGCCTCTAAGTAAAACCAAAACACGGAGCTCTTCTAGCTGCTAAAAATAAGAGCTAACTCTGTCCCAGCTAAAACCAGGACAGGAAGTCTTCTCGGGGATGTACAGTTTGCTGTTTCCAACATGTCTGCACCAACGACCTCGCAATGGCCAGTGATAAAATAATGCATTTTCTCAGCAAGTCACCAGATCCCAGGCACTTCCCTGGATATGGCCAGTGTAGTTCCTCCATGACTCCAGCCAGAGGACTGTCAATTCACTGAGTCTGATCCACAGATTATGGACCATGAATGTATCACTGTAACGAGCCTGAGAGCGTTTTTTTCCTCAGAATAGAAAAGCAAGTATTGTAAAATACATGCATGGCAATAATTAAATTTTTCACGTGTACCTCTGGCTTAGCTAAAACTCTACAAATACTTCCAAGAGTTGCTGAAGATTAGGACAATTTTGCCTCCCTCAGAATTAGCTGAATTACCAGTTTGTTTTTCTGAGTAACATCTACATTGGATGCAGATCTTTTTCAACTGAATGCTTTCTGGTCCTTTATAGGAGACTCCTAAAATTATTTTTAAATGGGTAGAACTATGTTTGACACCGATTATGGCATGCTGGAGTCTTTTGTTCCTGTCTTTGTTACTTAAAGACTATTTTTTGGTAAAATTACAAACGTGAAATAATTTCTGCCTCCTGCTGGTTTAAAAACCTCTGAAAGATTGTAATACCTTCTAGTGCAAAGAAATTCCTTCCTCTAATGAATCTATATCCTAGACCGCTGATGAACTGACCTGTCTGCAAATAAACAGACGTGCAGATGTCTTCCTTCCATGCTTTCCTTTTCCATTCAGCACTTTGCTGAGAAGAACAAACTCTTTTTTGGAAGTTTGTTCAGAAGGATTAAAAATATCCTAGATCTTCACAACTCATTCCCATTTCAGGTGGAATCTCATTTGTTTTGTTTTGTGGGTTTTTGTGTTTTGGTTGGTTTTTTTTTAATTTTGCTTCAAGAGAAGATTTCGCAAAGAAGGAAATTTCTATAGCTTTGAGTCCAATCAGATCTGACAATCCAAATCTATTTACAAAGAAAATTTCCTTTAAAAAAATAAAAATCTCTGTATAACTTCAATTTGAATCCTTGCCTGCCAGAGTTTAATTGCTTCTCCTACTGGCTCTAAATCCAGGGCAGCTTCAAAGTAAGAGTGGCTTCTATTAAATTTAATTGCTTTTTCCTGCAGCTCGCAGGTGGTTATGAGTTAGAGGCAGATTCCAAACAAAGATATATATTAAACAGAAATTTTGAGTGTAAGCAAATTACCTCCTTGTACAGAGACATTTATACCTCAGATGAGCTACTAAAAAAAAAAGCCATCGTCGTGGTTTCACCCCAGTTGGCAACTAAGCCCCATGCAGCCGCTCGCTTGCTCCACTCTGGTGGGATCGGGTAAAGAATCGGAAGGGTATAAGTGAGAAAGCTCGTGGATTCAAATAAGGACAGTTTAATAAGTAAAGCAAAAGCTGTGCGTGCAAGCAAAGCAAAACAAGGAATTAATTCACTGCTTTCCATCGGCAGGCAGGTGTTCAGCCATCTCCAGGAAAGCAGGGCTCCATTATGCATAACAGTTACTTGGGAAGACAAACACTATCACTCCCAATGGGCCTTCCTTCCTTCTTCTTCCCCAGCTTTTTATTCTGAACCTGACATCATATGGCATGGAATATCCCTTTGGTCAGTTGGGGTCAGCTGTCCCAGCTGTGTCCCCTCCTAACTCCTTGTGCACCCCCAGCCTACTCGCTGGTGGGGCGGTGTGAGGAGCAGAAGAGGCATTGACTCTGTAAGCACTGCTCAGCAACAGCTAAAACACCCCTATATTATCAATGCGGTTTTCTGCACAAATCCAAAACATAGCCCCATACCAGCTACTATGAAGAAAATTAACTCTATCCCAGCCAAAGCCAGCATAGCCATCTAACAAGGGACCAACTCTGTGTATGTTATTTCCATTCTGCTTAGATTCCAGATGTGTTTGTGTTAAATGCCACTCTATCCATTTTAGCAGTTTCTATGATCCTCTTAATATTTGTGTACATATATTTCAGTGTGGCACACCTGTTTCATGCATGCTTCTATATTAATAGCAACAGGTGTCCTAATCATTTGAGAGGTTGTTACAGGCATCACACTAGAAGCCCAATTTAGTCCTGTGGGGTCTGCATGCAGCTTACCGTGAAGCACACCGTTTTGAACATGATGTTGAGTGTTGAAATGATGGAATATTGCCTGTGATTATTAAATGGCAGTTGAACCTAGATG